TTTGAAAGAAATGAGAGACAATCGTCTAATTTTCAAGGACTGGACTAACATAGAACCCTGCCCTTGGATTTCCCAGATCCCTTCCCTCCTCACGCCCTGTCTCTGACAGAGATTCTGTCATGAATGTGATACTCTCCTTTACATCCTCCTCTACACCCTCATAGATTCTCATAAGCGGAACGCCTCCCTGGTGCCCCCTGGGGAGGCCCCCGCCTCTACTTGCTCCCGTTTTTACACTCTGTTGTGGTAGTCAAAGTTGTCATTTTGAGTATTCTGAAGTAACTGAGCATGGTTGGAGCGAGTAGTTCCTCTAGATAGTATCAGTCCCTAGCTTACTATCTGACGCCCTGCTTATAAGGGTGAAGAGATACAAAGGACATTGGTTGCTCTCCACGCTGATACAAGACTACACCGCTGGAGGTTACACAGGGCCTGCTCAGTCAGTCACCCTGGTTTTCCGGGTAATCAATGTTGGCAGAGTCCACAGTCACTTTTTCATTCTCCTATATATGGTGGACCAAACACAGTGCCTACTCAGTAAGTCCTCTAGTTGCAGGGCAATCAATGCTGGCAGATCCCGCAGTCACTTTTTCCATTTTCTCAAGATACCATTTTTTCTGTATATGGGACGCTGGACCCGTTTTCCAGCAGGTGACGCTCCCCACCAATAGATGGAGTCTCTCCCCTGGTGTTAGTGGTGTCTGCTCTTATCAGCAGCACTAACACTTGTGGGGGTGTGTTTTTAAAAAAAAAAAAAAAAAAAAAAAAGGTGGATTGATACCCTTCCCCACATGCATGTTGATTAGTTGGAGGAGTAGGTGGGGCGAGAATCACAATTGTGCCCCCACCTTTTTTTTTGCCAAAAATAAAAAATGTGTGTGATTGGTGAATCATTACTCTTCCTCTGTTTATTAGTTAGGAGAGTAGGTGGGGGGAGAATCACAATTCTACCCCCACCTTTTTTTTGCGAAAAATGAGAAATGTGTTGGATAGGTGGATCGTTACTATTCCCTGGTTGATTGGATGGGAGAATAGGTATTACTCTTCCCTGGTTGATTGGATGGGAGAATAGGTATTCTCCACCCACCTTTGTTTTTGCGAAAAATAAGAAATTTGTTTGATTGGTGAATCGTTACTCTACCCCCATGCATGTTGATTAGTTGGAGGAGTAGGTGGGGCGAGAATCACGATTGTGCCCCCACCTTTTTTTTTGCCAAAAATAAGAAATGTGTCTGATTGGTGAATCATTACTCTTCCCCTGTTTATTAGTTAGGAGAGTAGATGGGGGGAGAATCACAATTCTTCCCCCACCTTTTTTTTTGCAAAAAATGAGATATGTGTTGGATAGGTGGATCGTTACTCTTCCCTGGTTGATTAGTTGGGATAGTAGGTGGGGGGAGAATCGCGATTCTGCCCCCACCTTTTTTTTTGCGAAAAATTAAAAATTTGTTTGATTGATGGATCGTTATTCTACCCCCATGTATATTGATTAGTTGAGAGAGTAGGAGGGGGGAGAATCACGACTCTCCTCTCACTTTTTTTTTGCGAAAAATGAGAAATGTGTTTCATTGGTGGATCATTACTCGTCCCTGGTTGATTGGTTGGGAGAGTCGGTGGGGGGAGAATCGTGCAAAAAATCATTTAAAATTTATAAATATGTTTGATTGATGGATTCTTCCTTTTCCTCCCACGCATGTTGATTAATTGGGACAGTAGGTGGAGTGAGAATCGCGAGTATACCCCCACTTTTTTTTTTGTGAAAAATGATAAATTTGTTTGATTGGTGGATCGTTACTTTTCCCCCCAAACTTGTTAAGTAGCGGGGAAAGAAGGTGGTGGGAGGATCGCAATTTTCCCCCCATTACTTTTTTTTGCAAAAAAATGAGAAATGTGTTTGATTGGTAGATAGTTACTCTTCCCCCCCCACCTTTTTTTTTGCGAAAAATGAGAAATGTTTTTGATCGGTTGATTATTACTCTTCCCCCCCCATGCATATTGATTAGTGGGAAGAGTAGGTGGGGAGGGAATCGTGATTCTCCCCTCCCCTTTCTTTTCACGAAAAATGATAAATATGTTTGATTTGTAGATTGTTACTCTTTCCCCCATGCAGGTTGATTAGTATGGAGAATTGGTGAGCGGAGAATTACCGTTCTCCCCCCACTTTTTTTTTTTTTTGAAATGAGAAATTGTTTGGTTGGTGAATTGTTACTCTTCCCCCCCCCCACCACCTTTTTTTTGCGAAAAATGATAAATGTGTTTGATTGGTGGATCGTTACTCTTCCCTGGTTGCTTAGTTAGGAGACTAGGTGAGGAGAGAGTCGTGATTCTCCGCCCATCTTTTTTTTTGCGAAAAATGAGAAATATGTTTGATTAACGGATCGTTACTCTTCCCCCTCATGCATGCCGATTAGCGGGGACAGTTGGTGAGGGGAAAATCACGTTTCTCCCGTCACCTTTTTTTTTGTGAAAAATGAGAATGTGTTTAATTGGTGGATCGTTACTCTCCCCCCCATGCTTGCTGATTATTGGGGAGAGTAGGTGGGGGGAGAATCACGTTTCTCCCTCCACCTTTTGTTTTGTAAAAAATGAGAAATGTATTTTTTTGGTGGATCGTTATTCTTCCCTCCATGCTTGTTGAGTAGTGGGGAGAGTAGGTGGGGGGAGAATCGCGATTCTTCCCCCACCCTTGTTTTTTGCAAAAAATAAGAAATGTGTTTGATTGGTGGATCGTTACTGATCTCCCCATGCATATTGATTAGTGGGGAGAGTAGATGGGGGGAGAATCACGTTTTTCCGCCCCCCTTTTTCTTTGCAAAAAATGAGAAATGTGTTTAATTGGTGGATCATTACTCTTCCCCCCATGCTTGTTGAGTAGTGGGGAGAGTATGTTAGGGGAGAATTGCCCTTACCTTCTTTTTTCGCAAAAAATATGAAATGTGTTTGATTGGTGTATCGTTACTCTTCCCCCCCTCCTCACCACCTTTTGTTTTGCGAAAAATCAGAAATGTGTTTGATTGGTGGATCGTTACAGTAACTCCTACACCTCATGCGTGTTGATTAGTGGGGAGAGTAGGTGGGGGGAGAATCATCTTTTTTTTTTGCAAAAAATGAGAAATGTGTTTGATTGGTGAATCGTTACTTTTCCCTTCATGCATAATGTTGATTTGTTGGTAGAGTAGGTGGGGCGAGAATCGCCATTCTCCCCCTACCCTTTTTTTTTGCAAAAAATGAGAAGAGTGTTTGATTGGCGGATCGTTACTCTTCCCCAGTTGATTAGTTGGAAGAGTAGGTGCGGGGCCCCCAACTTTTTTTTTACGAAAAATGAAAATTGTTTTTGATTGGTGGATCGTTACTCTTCCCCCCATGCATGTTGATTAGTTGGGAGAGTGTGGGGGGGGGGAGAATCGCGATTTTACCTCCACCTTTTTTTTTGCAAAAAAATGATAAATGTGTTTAATTGACGAATCATTACTCTTTCCAGTTGATTAGTTGAGAGAGTGATTGGTGGATCGTTATGCTTCCCCTCGTGCTTGTTGAGTAGTGGGGAGCCTCCACCTTTCGTTTTGTGAAAAATGAGAAATTTGTTTGTTTGGTGGACCCTTCAAGTGGATCGATGTCGGGGAGGGTCTGACGTTTGGTGAACGTCGGACCCCCTTGCGTATAGACACCCTGGGGTCTGACATTTGTAAAACGCCAGATCGTATGCGAGCCGATGGCGGGGTGGGTCTAGCGTTTGTAAAACGTCGGACCCCCCAAACGGATAGATGTCGGGGAGGGTCTGGGGTTTGGCAAACGCCGGACGCTCCCTGCAATCGAATCGTGGAGGGTCCGGCGTTTCACAAACGTCAAACCCTCCCATGTGTCCATGCGCAAGGGGGTCCGACGTTTGTCAAACGCCGGACCCCCTGTCACATCGACGCCGGGGACGTCGGACACCCTATCAACTCGACGCCGGGGAGGGTTTGGCGTTTGCCAAACGCTGGACCGCCTAGCAGGCGGGACATCAGGGAGGGTCCGGCGTTTCCCATACGCCGGACCCCCTTGCACATAGACATCGGTGAGAGTTTGGTGTTTCAACGCGTGTTTGTGAAATGTCGGACCCTCCGCGGTCCAATGGCGGGGAGGGTATGGAATTTGGGAAACGTCGGACCCCCTATCGAGTACACGTCCGAGGGGGGGTCCAATGTTAATCAAACAGCGGACCCTCTAGTCACTCGACGTCAGGGAGGATGCTACGCTTCAGAAATGTTGGATCCTTTGCATAGCAAAACCAAATGTTGGACCCTGGTCCGACCGAAGCCATTGACTGTTTGGCGTTTTGCAGAACGTCAGTCCCTCTCTTATCTGATATGTGGTGAGAGTCCGGCGTCCGTCGAATGTTGTACCTTCTCTGATGAAAAGGTTGCGCTCTGACGTACTTTCGTTAATGTGTGGCATGTGTTCCTACAATACCAAACCCCTTGGTGGATATAACTTTATGAGGTTCCGGTGTGGTAGACCTCTGTAGGTCGCAATGTGTCCCCGTCTTTAGAGTGTGATCTATTTGGTAGATATATGATAAGAGTATGTCGTAGGCTTGTTTAGCATACCGAGAACACCGCTTTCTATCATTTGTGGGTGTCGACCTCCTTGGTTATATTGTGGCGACACTCGTCAACTCCCTCGTTTCGTTGCATTTGCTTGTCCATCCAGGAAAGACTCAAAAGAATTTGAAAGATGGATAGAAAAGGGTCAACAACAGATCCAAACTCTACTGAGAAAAGCTATGGGCTCTCGACTAGGTTGGCGGGACCCATGAGGGCGGGTGCGGTACTGTTTTTTTTTTTGACGGAGGACGAAGGGACGACCTGATACTGTTGTGGTGGCATCATGAAGACCGAGGATGACACGGCGGTGACGGAGAAGGGCAAGGTTGATGACCGCGACTTGAGGTAGTTCTTCCCCACTTCGATGCATGATTCCGGGGGTATTGACTGTGTTAAAACTGACCTCAATGTCAGCCTCGATCATGCTATGTTCAAGGGTTATGGTCAGAAGGCACTTGCTATCAAAACCATCGACGTCAAGGGGGATGGAATGAAGTTCAGGATGCTCCATGCAGTGAAGTTCCTTAGCAAGACCAATAATTATAAGAAAAGTGGTCATTACCCGAAGCTTGCGGCTGGTTACCAACTCGTAATGCCCTTTGTGTCGTTCGATGTTCCTGTCAAGAGTCTCGCAGGCTTTGCGACGTGCTCTGGCGATTGGCGCCATGTTATGTCTGCATCACCAAAAGTTGTTAAGGCCCAGGATAAGTTGATTACTTACTCGAGGCGTTCAGAAGGGGGTTCAACGGACCAACCAACGAAGAGGAAGATGCTCGCCACACCTCCTTCCAAACTCGCAGGACCTTACGGTACTGTTGGCAGCTCACACTCGCGACACATCGAACAAGAGGATGTCGCCGATAAACCAAGCAAGCAAACAGAGGAAGAGAATTAAGTTCATGGAATGAATGCTCCGCTCTTGGCGACATTTAGGCACATGTAGGGTGAAGGTTATTGTGATATAAATATAACACAAATTTTGCAATGCCCAATTAAGGAATGATGAAGACGGTGACGAACAGGAAGGGGACTCAGAGTGTGGTAGCAGCGGGAGGGGTGATCTCGGTCGTGATGTCTTTGAAGAGAAAGAAATGGAACATGATGGAGGAGATGCCAATATTTTCGCGGGGCTAACTTCGAAGGGGAGGGGAAAACGCACTGCAGAAGCGTCCCCAATGCCAGCTTGGCCAAAGAAACAGGCTAGAAAAAAAAGTTGTGGACGAAGCTCGAGGCACCTTGGACGCATCGCAGGGGAGGCTTGGCAAAGCCGTTGCGCAACGCAAAGCTAGCGGTCGGGTTCGAAAAACGTCACAAGACTAACAACCAAAGAAGAGTGTGCAACCATTATGGCACTCCCAATCAGATGAGTCAAACGACGACGCTGAAGGGGTGGGTCCTCGCGGGTCTGATCTCGCTGACAACGACGGACCGGAAACGAAGAAGCCTCATGCAATCAACATAACGTGGTGCTACTTCCTCGAGTACGATGAGGATGGTAAAAAGAGAAAAAAACCGTCGAGAGTGACAATTAACATCGTACAGATTCTTTAAATTTCGGAGGGAGATACCACATTCAATCAGCGATCGTTGAACAATGACAGAGATTGTTACAGACCTTGATGCGGTAATTGAGACATCAATTGGTCCAAGGGAAGAGAATAATCCCACTCCATGGGCATCACCAAAATTGGTGTTGGCTCCGATTTTACCATTGGCGGAAGATCCTGATGCGCAAGGAACATATGTCCTTCCAAAGGACTTCGATCCGGATAGGGAAGACGAGTACTTATATTATCCAGTTGTCAGGCATCATACTTCTGAGGCCATGAAAAGAGCGGTGCAGAGAGGATCCGCAACTGTGAAATTTTTTGGCTTTCGGAGGTATGATCATGTACTTTGTGTCCTAACAACGGGCAACAGACATAATTAATCATCCATGTACCCGTTGAAAAGGCCCCAAAGCCCTCATTGAATCTCGTTTAACGGGAAAACGGGGGTCTCCTGTTGAATTTGGAAAAACGGATTGGGGGGGTTGGGCCTAAGACACGTGGCCCTACGCGCCCAAACACTAAGATTAGAAAAAAAATAAAAATTTTAACCCCCCACAACGAGTCCCCAAACCTACCCAAAAGCCCCTTAAACTATAACGAGCTCCAAATACTTCTTCCCCTGCCCACCCCACCCTGCCGCTTGCCCCATCCTGTCGTCCCAGACCTACCCGAAAGTATGTGTGTTTATAAGTGTGTGTTTGTGTGCGCATGATTGTTGGTGTGTGTGTGTATGTGTGTGTGAGTGTGTGAGTGTGTGTGTATGTGTGTTTGTGTGTTGTGCGTCTGTGTGTGTACATGCGTATATTTGTTTTTATTTTTTTTTTAATTGTTTTGCTAGGCTACCAGAGTGGCCCGGGGTCACTTGCCCGACCGGGCCAAAAAAAAAAAAAAAAAAAAACTTTAAATAAGCATAAAAAAAATATTTTTGTATTTTATTTTTTATTTTAAATTTGGTAAAGAATTTCGACGTGACCCCGAGGCAAAAGTTGTTCAATTTATTTTTTCGCATAACATAGTTGTTTTTCAGATTTTTTGGATTTGTTTTTTTTTCCCTTTACAGGGACCTTCTCTGGTCCTTGCACGGGCTGGCCACTCGGGACCCGGACGCCCCAGCTGGTAGCCTAGTCTTTTTAATGTTTTTTTTTTTTTTTTTTTTTTTAGTCTTTTTAATGTTTTTTTTTTTTTTTTTTTTTTTTTTGAAAGGGCGACGGCCGTGAAATATCATCATTGAGCTGACCGGCCCCAGACGATTCAGAAATAGTTGGTTTTACAACTTCTACTTGTCTAGTTCCATCATCTGGATTTGAACACGGGTCTGTATTTTCAATAGTTCATGGGTGTACCCACTGAGCTAGGCTCTTGGATGTTTTTGATTTTTTCAAAACACATGGAAATTAAAAAAAAATAAAAAAATATTGTTGTACATCTTTGAAACATATGCAACCCTATATTTTTTATTTGTTTTTTTGCCTTCTTTTAGCCCTAAAAAAATCTTTGTGAAAAAAAAACAAAAACAAAAAAACACTCATTTCATCATTTGTTGTTTTCTATTTCATTGTGTTTATGTTTTTGATTTTTAAAAAATACAGTCAGAGCTTAAAAAAAAAACAAAACATATGGGCTTATAGGCTTAAAAAATATCTACAACCAGGGTTGCCAGGCCGAACGTACGGAGGCCCCTAAGCTGACCCCCGAACGTTCGGGTGTTCGAATCCCCGTACGGGGCCCGAACCTGAAGGGGTTCGGACCTCGTAAAAAAATATTTTGACATCTCAATATTATTATTTTTTTCTGAAATTTTTTCGTGACTTCTTTGTGCTGCAAGGTATCTCCCTCTTAATTTTGAAGCCATTCTGTTCATCCAAAACAAAATGAAAAATCGGCAAAGATGGTGGTGTCAAAACTTACTTGCCCACTCACTAATTTGTTTTTTCTCTCTTTTCACTTTTTGTTTTTCAAACTTTATTTGTGTATTCTTTATTATGTAAGATACAGACGTATAAATTTTCATGGCATTTGTCACAGCCAAAAAAAATTGAAAAAATCACCAAATATAGCGGTGTCCAAAACGTGCTCGCCCACTCAATAATTTTATTCTCGATTTTTTTTTTCATTATTATTATTTATCTTTAGTATTTGATTTTTATTTTAAATTTGGTAAAGAATTTGGATGTAACGTTGAGGCAAATGTTGTTTAGTTTATTATTTTGTATAACATATATGTTTTTCTCAGATTTTTTAGATGCTTTTTTTTTTTTTTTTTTTTTTTTTGTCCAAATTTGGTCGAACGGCAGAACGCGTCAAGAGGGGGTGCCGAACGTTCAGGCGTTCGTAATCGGGCATTCGGCCCGTCCGAATGCCGGCAACCCTGTCTACAACCATATAATTATTTTTAGCCCACGAAAAAATGTTGGTGGACCTCGTTGTAACCCGTCTAACGGACCTTTCAACGAGAATTCAACGTCGTTTCAACGACGTTGAATTTTTCAATGCGGAATCCGTGTTGAATCAATTTTTGGACACACTGATCATGTGCGCATCATTTACTTCGACGACGACCACACAAACGGGTATGCATATGTTTCGACATATGACAACATGAGAGGTGACCGTGCAATGTTGTCGTCGTTTCACCAATCCTGTCAAGATATCAAAATTTTTTGGCTGTTGTAAAATCAGATCGGGCCTGTGGGTTGGAAGGTATCCGAAAACGACCACGATGGTAAAAAACACCAGGAAAAGTGGCGGGAATTCATGAGAATTTGCATGGGGCAGCTATGTGAAAAACCCTGTGGAATGAGGCTTAGTCTCCAAAATGGCAGAACGACTGGTCAAACAGGATGAAGGAGTTTTTCAAGAAGTTCGAAGCGGGAGAGTTGCCGCTGCACGATAACAAGTGCCCTAATGACTTGCCAGGGAGATAGGAGGGCCGGCTGACGGGCCAATTTGTCGAAGAAGTGGAAGGGGAGAAGGTATTCCCTTGCATTGTGGCTAAGGATGGAGGAGCAAATGTGATGGTGCCGTTCAAAGATCTCGTTGCGTCAAACTTCAAATCTTTCGAAGATATGACACCGCGAGAGAAGGAGGTCGCTTTGAGGTTGATGATCAACAAGAAAGTCATCGCCCCAACTAGACTGGTTCCTCCTAGGAAGTTGAACATGACCAACCTCCTCGATATAATATTGGTCGAGAGTCACATGATGCATCTGTTCAACTATATCTTCTTCAAATCGGAGAACAAAAAAAGGAATGAGTGGAAACAGGAGTTCTTCTTCGACTATAATGCAATGGCGCGAAGGTTTGGTGTCAAGGCGAAAGAATAGGATGAGGTAAGGGATAGGATCCCTTTGGAGTACGTTCAGACGGCTCCAAAAAAACTTGGCGGAGAGCAAGAGGAGAAAAGTTTGAAAGGAGCAATCCTCAAGGCCACTTAGGCATTATAAAAGGACGCACCATTCCATTTTAAGGTCTTCGTGTATCGGGCGATAGGGAAGATGAACCTTCTCACAACAGAGTTCGGTCGGTTATCGAACATTATTGCCAATCAACATGCACCCAAACGAGCTGCTGCTCGCACCTCGCGAAGTTGTTACTGCTGCCACAAACTTGAATTGCAAGGCCGCTATCCTCGATCTCGCAACACCGTCGCATTGCTCTTCGTGGTCGCCAGGCGATTTCGATGCTCTCCACAAAATGATGTCCAAATTGAGCGACAACAATTGAGTTTTTATCATTTTTGTGTCGCACAAACAACATAAGAGCGTCATGTGACACCTTTACAACTAAGAGGACGTATAGGTGATACTTGAAACTTGAAAGCAGTATCTGGGGGTTGGGATGATTGTTAACAAATATGGGAACTGACACGTCGAGAACAAGGACATGATGGCGGTCGTCCCCATGACAAGGGCGGGGACCTCAAGATGGTCACGAGAGTCCCTCGGTCAGAGGTGGACCTTGTAGAGCTAAATGTTGAGGAAGACTATATTAAGAAGCGCATAGCGAAGCATGACAACGATGAAGGTAACGAAAGGGAGGAGTATGGGCGTTGGGAATGACAACTGATACGATTACGGAGATCATTGTGCAGTTTGTTTCCCGCACAAGGATGAAGGGGTGATACTTCTCGGAAAGTCACATGCCGGACTTGCCTGAGAGCTTTTGTGTGCGGGTAACCATGCAGTTGCATGCGATGTTTCGCCGAAATATATGTCATACTTAACGAAGACCATCGACGTCTTTGCGACTGATGCGAGAAACGATTGTAAGGTTGAAAGACAGAAGATTGCACAACGTACGGATAGGGACATGTACCACAAACTATGAAATAAGAAAAATAAGATGTAGGAGTACCTGTTCCAAAGCCAACCCATCATAGTTCGCAAAGCAATGGCTCAGGAAGCATAAAGTGGTTATCACAAAACACAGATGGGGGCATTTGCGTTATTTGTGGCGCGATGCAAAGTGCTCAAGTTTGTCAAAAATCGGACCATATTGACATACGACTACAGTGACATCGCTAAAAAAACATATGCATGGTGTCTAATCGAGAATGATGAAGAGATGAAAAACTCGGACCCGGAAATCGATTTGCGAGTCAAACGTTTGCGAGAGGGTGGAGGTGCTGGAGAGGGAGTGCAAAGTATGCCAGGATGCAGCATGCAGAACGAAAATCTTGAAGGAGGTCGCACGATCTCTGGAGGTGTGAGTGGTCCTGCACCTGACATGAACTATAGGGGAAGTTCCCCTGAAGCAAGAACAACGGATTCGTCGACGCTCCTTGGAGCACTTGCGAACAATGTGATTTACGACAATTGTTACGGGTTTCACGGAGGGCGAACAACAGGGGGAAATATGGGGCACATCATGCTCGAAGATGCTGGAGAGGATGACCTGGCTGTTCCAGTTGTTTTCCCAAAGCTCATGCCAAGTGATGATATTATCGATGACATAGTGCAGACCAACAGATAGTCGTACTTCGTCTGAGATAAAGTAAAAGAAAAGTTGTTTCAGTGGGGGCATCACATCTTATGACATTCGGAGACGTTTGAGTTGTGTGTTTACTAAAGGAAGTGGATGATGGCACTCCATCCACAATCCGGAGTAAAAGTTAAACTCAGACTGACAGAAGATCTGTGGTTGAAAGTAACGAAGAGTGAAATCATCTATCGTCTCAAGTGTGAAAACGAGGCGGCAGGCAAAACTGCTATATTGGAAAAGGCTCGGCCGCTGTTGTTCGATTGTTTACACTCCGACAATCATTTGAAATATAAGCATAAATTTTATGACTTACAGTCAAGCCATTTGTACAACAGTATGATTGGAAGATCAAACATTCTCCTGCATGCCAAGGTATCAAGAATATTAAGGTAGGATGCTTACAGCTTGCGAAGTAATTAACGACAAAGTTTACGGCCAATGTTGGGGAAGCGATGAGCCAAACTGCTGTCAGGATAAACGACACAGACACTAGAAAGACCTATCTTAAAGAAGATGCTACGAGGATGACAACAGTGACCCCTAACAACAAGGTGCAGCATCAGACAAGGAAGGTACTGTTGTGGTGGGTGTTCAGGGCAACCGAATGTTGAATGTCAACGAAGAGAAATCAAACGTTGAATCATACGGGCCTCCTTTAATGACTCAGGCGGGAAACCACAGTGCATTGTAGATGAAAAGTCTCAGTCCTACCGTGGAAGCGGCGGTTGCGGATGGAATGCAACTAAGTGTGTGTACAAAACATACGGGTAAGATGCAAAACAATTTCGATGAGACGAGGAACGTGCTGATTGAGACGGAGAATGAGGGGAAAAGGAAGCTTCAGGGGTCAACCACATCCCACAATGTGATAAATTATATTCCATTAAGCGACGAAGGGCAAAGCGCACATGCAGGGGGCCATGATAATGGCGAGGATGTATAGGAAGATGGTGAGGAACAGAAGGTACTAGAAGAACGAGGTTGAGTCATCAGACGCTCCATAAGAAATAAGACCAAAATACAAAAGATAGATGTGTAGAGATATGCAGAGAGTGATGTATGTCTTCGTTTGTGAGTAAGCATCTTTTGTGCATGTTTAAATTTATGTGTGTGTGTGTGTGTGTATATACGTCTGTGTGTATGTACGCAACTCGGATACATGTTCAGACGAAGTCGAGTGATGAAATAATAAGTTCCGGTTGGATTTTGGGAGGATATCGAATCAAAGTGTCAATCATGATACATGCTCATCTCTCTCTCTCTCTCTCTCTCTCTCTCTCTCTCTCTCTCTCTCTCTCTCTCTCTCTCTCGCACTCAATGAATGAGTGAAACTATCGATACGTATATGAATTTGCAAACCTCGTTATCTATCTTAATCCTCTTTGTATAATGCACATATCACCCTCGATAAATTTAATGTAGCTGTAATGATTAGTGTGGTAATTCTTCAAAATTGTTCGTGTCGTAATGCAAGTGACGAAAGTGTATTAAAAAAGACGTGGGATTGAGTCGATTTACACTTCGTAAACTCCAATTTTCGTTTAAGCACCCTCAGGCTGTCTCTTAAAGGTAGCCCTCACTATGCATTATCAATTTATCACAACAAACTAAGTACAATCAGCATGACTCAAACTGCAAGTCTTATAACAGTAGCTCACGTAAAGACATGTTGCGTTGTCATGTGCAACACAAACGACGATGGAGGATAACCGAAGGTGCAAAAATGGATGGACCGTACACTCGGCAACAACGAACTTGACGGAGCATAAGATGGAGACACTCACACAATTGCGAGAATCGGGAATAGAGACATCATAGCAAACTCATTTAAGGAAGACACCAAAGAAGAACTCACGATGACAGTTAACAATTTTAGTTTGCTCATGATAGGAAAAAAAATGGTTGAATGAAGAAATAGTGAATTTGTATCTTAACCTCGTCCGACTACACAACGAGTATCGTGTGAAGCACGTAGATTGCGACTCCAAGAACGAGAATGTAGTTAGAACAGGAAAGGGGCGCATCCCTAGAATAACAATTTTTAACTTTTTGTTTTTTACCAGACTATCTGACAACAATATGAAATTCCAATACGATAAGGATCATAAATGGTTCGCAGAGGTTGTGATTAGCAATATGGATCTGATTATTGCACCTTTCCATGTAGCTCACAACCAACATTGAACACTCGTAGTGACACTTTTGAGGTGTATGATATTTGAGTACTACGACTCGTTGACACCAGATATTGAACTCACGAAGAAGGTAACAAGGGAGTTTGCATTTGTTTTTTACATGAGATCGATCGAACAAGATCAAAAGATTGACAATTTGACACCCGACTGTTCAACCATAGATGGGTAGTTGTAGGCATTCCAAAGCGGAGCGACTTCAACGAGTGCGGTGTATTTGTACTCATATATACATCACTGTTGGCGAGAGGGTTTTTGCCACCATTCACCTTCACGTCAAATGACATTAAGAAACTACGATGTCGGATAACTTTCGATGTAGTTGTTGTGGAGTGGACATATGAGTCTGTTACAAAAGTCGTCCAAGTACATGAGAGGACCATGCAGTGACCAGAAATAGGGGTGATAATAGGAAACGATGACCTTGCAAGACTATTGAGGATCATTGATGCAATTACATTGAAGGTGTAATTGGTTGTACAAGACAAACATCATATGAAAACAATGCAATGCCAAAATGAAAGAGAAAAATTGATTAATAAAGGAATGATTTTTAGAGGCAAGAAACGAGTATATGACATACCAACATACATCGACCATATCCCTTAGCCCCTTACCCCTTATCCCTAAACCCATAAACCCTTATCTCTAACGCCTTATCCCTAACCCCTTATCCCGTGGACCCTTACCCTCTACTTGTTAGCCCTTATCCTAGACCCCCGACCCCTTACCCCTTACCCCTTACCCCTTACCCCCTACCCCTTATCCCTTACACCCCCCTTCCCCCCCCTTTTTTCTGTTACAAAGTATTAGCAAACGAAGACAATTGTGGCCAAAAAGAAGAATTTTAATTTTATTAAAAAAAAAGTCCGTTATGACGAAATCTTAGTTTTTGAATCACCACTACTTGGGTCATACATTGGCTACGACCCTTCCCCGTTAATGCGCTATGGTACTTTTCTCAATTGGACCACTCTCGGCGATCAGAAAAACAATAGGTTGTCACGCAGGATTTTGATGATTTTTGCAAGAAATAAATAATTAATACAAATCCCTTCCTGTTTTGTGGGTCCGGCTTCAAGCGAGACCTTTCAATGACAGTCTACACGTCGTAACGCCAGTCCCTGGTTTTAGGAATCTTTGATTGAATAACAATTGCAATTATTCAATTAATAAATTAAAATAAAATTAATAGCGCATCATGATTATCATTTTTTTAGGATTGAGAGTTATGATAAGATCAACAAAGAGCACAACATCAGACGATGACCATGAAAAGAGATTGAAACTGACTTTACTCAAGGCAAAGACAAGATGAATGAGGGAACGGAAAACTCATAATAATCTTTGAAGGTACAAATGAAAAGACGAGTCCTCCCTCTCCCTCTCAGGTCTCATCCTCAATCTCTCATTTGACCATGCTTCTCAAGTGCTTTGATCGGCGTTTACGTGCCTCCTGAGATTGTGGCTTAGAGATGTTGAGCCACCTAAAGCGAACAAATTCCAAGTAGGTCCATCGAAGACCAAAGATTCAAAAATGAAACATAGCATATGACTCCGCCCACAGAGTTGGAATATATGTCCCCTCGTCGAAGATGGGTGAATGTTGCGTCATGGTCGAGCTTTGTTGGTGAGATATACCTGTTGGCCAAGTCAACCAATTCACCACAGTAAGAACCATCGATGAGGTAGAAAGGGACCGGAACCCTAGGATAGTAACTGTATAGCTTTGGACCGAAGCTACTTGTATGAATCAACTTTGCACCCTCTTGATGCATTCAGGCTCTCACTTCAATATATTGGGCTGCTATAATCCAGACTGAGTCAAAGTGCTCATAAGTCTCCTTCTCCTTCTTCACATAGATCATCATATCTTGGACTGTTCCTCTTGCAAACTCAGTGAGAACCATAAAGATTGACAAACCTTCTTATAAAAAACCGACTGCAATGACATATCGGTGTTGAAAAACATCTCTGGAGGCTATCCTGTTGAGATTAGTCAAGACGGTCTGTTGGACTGGAAAAGAAGTGATGACACTCATGTTGTGATATGAATGTTGGGACTAATTTGAATGATGTTGATCTCGAATAGAGAATGATCAAGGAAATGCTGATTATTGTCCCACTTACTTGATATCTGTTGAGAGCACTATCTGATGGATGCTGATCTATATGATGGCTAAATAACAATAAATCCTTATTGAAGATCACTGATGACGTTTTGGGTGACTGAGTGTAATTGAGTAACGATCCATTAACAGTTGAGCACTGAAAACAGCATGCCAAGAAAGACTCTGGCTTGTGGGATCATACTTATTGAATGATCAAGTGAAGAGTCTTTGAGAGGAAAGAATCCAAGAGTTTTCATGTTCACGTGCGTTTTGCCCTGACCTGCTTAATAGTCTCTAGAAAGGAGCCAGTGCTATGCAGTTTGCTATTGTGATCATTGAAATAGAAATTATATTTAATCATTTTAATGTATTTTCTTCCTCCAATTCTTTGAATTGCATGCCCCCTCAAAACCAATTTGTGTAATTCCATGTCTTGTTCAGTTTCCATTTCCCATCCCTCGTAATTATCTTCACTGATTTTGCATCTCATCACCAGGATCTCCTCATCCTTCATGATCTCTTCTCTGATCCGAGACTCGGCCCCAAACCGAACGCAATGAAGACAGGGGAATGACCAGCGGTTTGATAGACCATACGTACCAAGGGCAACAACTTACGAACTCCAGGCTTTCAAGTGTTCTGCCTCGATTAAATGTTGGGGCCCCCTGTTGAGTGAGTCTATCACCTTGCTGCCAGTATCTGATTATAAAGAGTTGTCAGTGACTTTGTCTTCCTAGTCTTCCACTTCATCTTAGTAGAGGATGTAAGACACAACGAAGATGTCCATGTTATGCATGTTTTTCTTCGATCACTATTGTTTACAGAATTTGATAAACCTG